GAGGTAGATTTCAGCCCTTAGGACCAGATGGTGTGGGCATGGCCCAGGAGAAAGCAGTCTTGGGAGTGAAACCCCCTAGTACCACCCCACCCCAAGCTCACACCTCAGCCAAATCCAGTTACTCCATCTTCAGCAAGGACTCAACCGATGCCTGGAAATGATCTAGCAAGTATTAAATAATCGCAAATCACAGCAGCGTTCAGACATGGGGCTTCCTACGGGCCAGGAGCTACTCTATGAACGCTAAGCTTAGCTCCTCCATCTCATGTGCTAACTCTGAAGCAGTAAAAAGCAGAGGCATTACACAGACAAGGGTGCTCAGGCCCAAAAGACACATTAATAGTCACGTGGTTAGTGGAGGGGCTGGGATCTGATCACTGACTTTAGACAGGGCTCTTGACCAGGCACTATGGTTTTGTCCTTACATGACTCATCTGGCTCAAGGAAAATAGAACTATACTTTAACTTCCATACAGTGCACTTCAGCAGAGTCTTCTGAGAGAACCCCCAAAGGCTTGGTATTACAGATGCTCATGTTGCCTTGATTTTTTTTTACCCCAAAGCTTCACTTCCCACAACGGAAGATGCTGGTGGCTCAGACCCGTGGCTCAGCTTTCCCAGACTGGTACAGACGCCCAGCATCCGCCCGCCTAGTTTCTATTTAAACATTCTTCTCAGCAGCAAAGATAATACAGGCACTTCACAGAGCCAGGGACAGGTACAAGTTTACCCCGAATGTCCAAAGACAAGACAAATGGGTGACCCCTGAGGGACCATTGTGCCTCCCAGGAGCTGGCCACCCACCTTCAGCCCTCTGGCTCTGGCCCCCCTCCAGGCCTCACCCCCACCGGTTTTCTCTCACTCTTCAGACAATCATTTCTCATTCCTCACCCTGGGAAGGGGAAAAGGCTGGCACTGGGGAGGAGATAAGCTTCCATGTGGCAACTCCATCAATCAGATGCCTGTGCCCGCCCAGAGACCTGCAGGAGTTGAAGGCTAGCGCATCTCTGAGAGAGCTGGTCTCTAGGGTGGTTGGTGAATGTCCTCAGTGCTCTCAGGCACAGAATGGCTATGGGGCTGTGGAGGTCAGGAGCCTGATCAGAAAAAGCCGCTTTTTGTGAAAAGAAAAAATGATTGGTCACTGCTCTCCTCAGATAAAACGCTTCCTGTCGTTTTCCTTGAGCTAACTTGGAATCCAGTCTCTAAGGGTGAAGAAAGCCAGAACTCCTGAGTCTGCCTCATTCTCTGGGTCCCATTCAGCCTGTCACTGCCTATACAAGTGTGCGTGTCCCCATTCCTCGCCAGGCCTCTGCTTCTTCACCTGTAGTTGTGACAGCTCTGATAACAGGACTAGCCAACACTCCCCTAGCACCTGCCGTGTCTGAGGCACAGCTCCAAGGGCTCTCCTATACTGATATATCTAAATAAATAAAATAAGTCAACTCGGACGGAGCCTGGATCCCCGTGGCTCCTCCCAGCTCTGCATATCTGTGACTTGAGGTCTGCTTTGGGGTTTCAATAATTAAGCAAGGTATTAATGACCCTCATCTGGCCCAGATCATCAGACAGGCAGGCTTTGTGAGGCTAGCACTGAGTGGCGAGCCTCCCTGGCAGGGTGACCAGCCTTTGTGTGAGCTCAGGGTGACTGATGAGGTGTGGAGACAGTGAGTGAACACAAAACAAATGATAAAGCAAGTGGGACAGGGTGCCTGGAGGTGAGGAGCTGCAGGCCCCTTGCCTTGCAGCCTCCGAGGAAGACCTTCTTGGACACCTTCCAGACCTGACACGGGATCCTCCCGGAGCAGGGAACCATCTGGACCCTCTCATGGAAGCCTGGTTAAAAAGGGGTGTGCACTCTCCAGTGGCTTCCCTCTCCTCGTTTGTGGATTACAGGGAGACAATGGACTGGGTCCAGGAAATGATAACCGATTTGGCCTGTTTTAAATTGGCTCCAGTCACTACTGTGTATGCTGTGCCCCCCCATCCCCCTACCGCCTCCATTTCCTCGCTCTGCGGTGGAGACCACTGACTCTAAACGTGACACAGGTCGGTTCTTTCCAAAGCCTGGAAGCCACCTTTCAGCCCCTTTGCACCTGGCCAACAGCTCCTTGACTTTCAGAATTCTGAATCAAGAATCATTTGGTCACTCTTCTTGAATGGTCTGGGGCCCCGCTCAGGCCTCCCGTACCTGCTCACTGGGCCAGGGATTTGGGGTGAAAGTTCTTTCCACACTGTATCCTAATCACCAAGGTATATGCAAATTTCTCTGTCAATCAGAAGCCAGGACTGGCACCCTGGCTCAATGCTTGCTACTTCTTTGAACTATAAACTAGTCAACCTCCACCGGCTCTAGTGAGGAGACAGACTAGGCCTGCTGGCTTGCCTTCAGAGCGCTTGCCAGGGAGCTTGTGTTCACTGTGAACCTGTCAATCCGCTCTCCCAAAGTGAACCTATGGGTCTTGTGCCTAGGAAGTAGGTTTCTAAGTGCTCAGCTCAGGCAGGAATAAAGAACACACTGAATGTGTCGATGTAGTTGGGTGTTTAGCTGTGGCCAAGGCAGGTGTGCGCCGGATATAGCTAGTAACATTAAAACCCAATGTCAGGCCCTCCCCACCCAATCATCACCCTAAAGTCACTGCCTTATGTTGGGAGCAGTGAACCCCCAGATTCTGAATTTCTTGTAAACAACTTGTTTTCCTCTGCTCTGAGACAGCCTGCATCTGCTCTGAGCACGAGACCCTCAGGAGTTCCTGATAGCAGGAGAGTGGTTTCTGGTGGGTTTGGCTGGAGCGTGGCTATCAGTTAAGGATCCCTATGTAAGTGGCTCTGATATATAATAAAGGGAGTATTTGGGGGGGGGCATTCTGGCATCAAGGGTGACTTGTGTCTCTGTCTGTGTGTCTTTGTGTGTTTCAATCTCCAGCCCCTTGCCCGGTTCACGAACTGTATGGTAGCACAGAGAGCGTAGACGGGTGTGGTCCGCTACAGCCTTAGAGTTACCACCCCCAAAGTGTTTCTTCCCAACTTACAATTCGATGGCCCCTCAGGGCTCTCCAGGCTACCCACTCCACTCCCTACATCTCGCCCATGTCAGGGCTCTTGTGGCCTCATGTTAAATGGCATCTCCCCCAGGAGGTCTCCCTTGCCAACCTCAGTCTGGGTTATACATTGCTCCTATGAGCATCCCAAACTGGCCCACCGTGTTACCTTCAAGGCAATCTGTTCATTTTCCGTCGCATTTCAAAATGTATAGGAAGCTGGAGCGGCCTGTGAAAACCCGGCTCCTAACTCTGTCACGCCTGCTCTCACCTTTGTATTGGTCCCACGTGGATCCTTCTCGAACTGCACAGGCAAACAAAGGTGGACTTTCGCATTCACCTTTCCCGTGTGAGCTTCCCCACTCACATCTAACCTCGCCCTGTTGTGCTGGTTTGAAAGAAAATGACCCCTATAGGCCCACAGGGAGTGGCACTATTAGGGGGTGTGGCCTTGTTGGAGGAAGTGTCACACTGTAGGCAGGCTGTAAGGTCTCAGAAGCTCAAGCCAGGCCCAGTGCCTTGCTGTCTTTTCCTGCTGCCTATAGATCCAGATGTAGAACTCTCAACTCCTCCCTTTCAGCTCCTTCTCCAGCACCATGTCCGCCTGCATGCTGCCTTGCTTCCCACCATGACAATAATGGACTAAACCTCTGAACTGTAAGCAGCCCCAATTAAGGGTTTTCCTTTTAAAGAGTTGGCATGGTCATGGTGTCTCTTCTCAGCAACAGATATCCTAAGTAAGATCCCTACTTACTTCATCCTCGGAAACCAAGTACCAACAGAGTTAGTTTAAAGGAAGAAGAGTTTGATTTGTCTTGCAGCTTCGGATGGCTCAGCCCATAATTTTCTTGACTCCATGTGCTTGGGGAAAAATTAACTATGGTAGTTGGGAGCATGTGGAGAGTAGCCTCTTCAAGCCTTGTTGGAAAGGAGAGAGAGAAGAGGGCTCGGGGGCCCATGGATAACCTTCAAAGCCAGGCCTCCCCTGACTCACTTCCTCCATCTGGTTCACTCTGGTTCACCCCGCGAGTTTCCACGACCTCCCAGAACGTGACCACCAGCTGGGAGCCAAGCATTCAACGCAGGAGCTAAGATGTACACTTCAAATTCAAACCGTAACAGAGGCCACTCTGCCTCAGACCTCAGGGCACTCCTCTCTGTCCTGTGGTGGCCTGACAGTCCTTGTACCGGATGTAGGTTGTATAGCTGTTCAATTGCAGGCGTGCAAGGAAATCAACGAGCGCGTTCTTCACAGTGATTTTGGAAGAAGTTATAATATTGTGTCATGTCTTCTCCAGAGATGAGGCGCGTGGAAGTCATGACCTTTGACCCTCCTTCTGTGTCCCCAAGCATGAAGTTCAGGCTCAGCACACTGCCAGGGCTCTGCTCCACGTAACCACACAGCTCTGCTGGGAAAGGAGTGTCAGTAACCAGTGTCTCCTTATGTCCTGCCCCTAAGTCTGTACTCAGTGACCTTCCCGCTTAGCAGGAACCTCAGCTGCAGGCAATGATTTGTCTGAAGGCTCATGCCAGGTTGTCAAGCGATCCTAGGCTATCAAGATGAAAAATAATAGAGTCAGTAAAAAAAAAAAAATTACCAGACAGTAAAGATGTACATGGGAGTGGGTGGGCACAGAGAGACCCAGGTGGGAAGACAGTCCAGAGAAAGGGGTGGAGCTCAGCGTTCCTCTGGAGAGCCCCACCCAGCTCAGCCCGTGGTTTGAGTGAATGCAATGCACACGCTCTCTCCACCCCATAGCACTGGTGGGGCTGGGTTGCCTGAAGCAAACTCTGGACCCTTGAGGAGCTCACAGTGACAGGTGCCATTATACAGCATGACAAGAAGAGCAAGAATTCTCACACAGGGTGTGGAGGCAGCATGGAGCAAAGGCCGTTAATCCTGCTTGGGGCTGGGGACAGGAAGAGACACAGAGAATCTGATGACTCAACTCATATGTTTACTTATCCGTCTAACAAATAGATGCTGAGAGCCTACCATGACACAAAACAGTGACTGCTCTAGCGAAGTCGCGTCTGAGGACTTCTAGACAGAGGGGGGGGGGGGGCTCGTGCCTGCCTGAGAGAGCCTTCGCCACAAGGCAGATTATTGAAAGAACTGTAGAACTTTCTCGGATATAGGGGATTGTCTATGGCGGTATCGGTGCTTCGTGAAGAGTGACGTCACTTCCTGGTCTCCATGGCACCATGCTCTGCTCTCTTCTCCCTCCTGGACACTGCCACCCTTCAGTTCACATCCTCATCTCTCCATCTCTTCTCCCTGGTCATCAGCTTCCAGTGTGATTTCCAGACAGGTAGGTGAAATGACAGTCAGACAAATAAAACGTGGTCACGTGTTAAGGATTTATTTAACTCATTAAAGAAGGGACCAGCCAGATGGCAGAGCTGGCGCGGAGGGCATCTAAAGAGCTCTTTGTGTCACCTAAGCGCTGTAGTAAGAAAGCTGGGGAAGATTTCTTGCTAGATACAGAACTGGCTAATAACCTTCGGGACAGCTAAGACCACAACACTTGGAGTTTTGTTTTTCTAGCAGACAAAAGCATTTGCATCTCCATCAGACACTCATCGACAGTAACTTCACTGAGTGTGGACTTAATCAATAGGAAACAACGCATCAGGAAAAAAGCACATTCCCACAGTATAGGGACTGGCACCAAGCTCTTGTTTTTGTTAATAAAGTTTTATTTACTCCCATCAGGCCCGTTCACTTAACCGTTGCTTTATCAAGGTTATATGAATCATAAGACCAAAGGGGAACTCTGTCGAGCCATAGAGAACGAAGCAACCCTAGGGCGGCTCTGTCAGTCAGTGATCTCCTACAAACAGCGAGACAGCAAGGCCACACAGATCTCCTTGCCTCGCTTGCACTCTTTGGGATCGTTAGTATTGTGCCTCGTTACCCTGGTTTCCCCTACACGTGTAGTCCAGACCCTTAGCAGACCTTCAACACCATATGCTTCACATTCATGCCGCCCTGTTTACAGTCTTCCCAAGTTCCCATCACCTGCTGGTCCAACTCACCTTGCAAAAATCCTGAGCCCCTGGACCCCCAGTTACCTTGTGGCGGGTGCTACTATGATACTATCTGTAGGCAACACACATCCCTTCGGGAGCCCCAATAGAGAGCATGGTTTTCTGTTTGCCCACACTTGGAGGCAGAAGGAAGATCTTGGTGCAAGGGGATTGAAACTGAGGTCCAGTTCATAGGCCGGAGATCACAGTCACAGGTGTGCTGGTTTAGTACAGAGACTTAGTGTACAACCTAAGAGAGAGACATGGTTTGAGAAATTCTCTAAAGGAGTCCAGTGCTCTTACCACATAAACTAAAGGTAACTGTGTGAGGTCACTGGGTGTGTGCGTTTGCTTGACCATGGTAACCACTTCTCTGTCATATCTGTGTATCAAAACATGCTGTCCACCCTAAATGTGGCCAGCAAAAGAGGGATTTAATAGCAAGCAGCCCCCGGTTTCTGGGGACCAGCTTGTTTATGAATCCTGGCAGCTGGTCCAGTGCACCACGCATGAGTGTGTTCCTCCAGCCCGTGTCTTTGTGTGGCTTTGAAATGAGTACTGTGCTGAGATGAACAGACAGAGGAAGAGACGAGAGCACAGCTGGAGGGAGGGGAGGGCCAAGAGGACAACATCTGCTTTCTATTCCCCAGGCTCGGGGCCAGGCGCCCTCCCGGTGTAACGTTTCTTCGTTCTGTATAAACAGAGAGGATGATTCTCGTAATCTCGGCAACAAAATACACAGGCATAAAAACGGGTCATATTTTACTCTAATGAGAGAAACGAGGGACGATTTCCTTCACACAGAGAAGCCTGGGTTGCTCTAATTAACACCAAATGGTCCTGCGGCCAGTCGCAAACATGATGAAGAGGTTGTTGGGATTGGAAGAAACCTGGGGCTTCGGGAGGGGCTGAACCTTTGCCAGCCTCCTTTATACCATCCCCAGCCACTGCCGCCACCACCCCAGCCACTGCCACCACCCCAGCCACTGCCGCCACCACCCCAGCCACTGCCACCACCCCAGCCACTGCCGCCACCCCAGCCACTGCCACCATCTCAGCCACTGCCACCACCACCCCAGCCCTCCAGTGCTGGCTCCCAAAAATAAGGGGAAGAAATTAACATCATTAGTACTTTCTATATGATTTACGCACATACTTGTTCACCTAAGCATAAGAACATCCATAGAGCATACAGCACATTATACATACTGGATCTTACTCATACACTGCACAATACCACACTCAGAAACACTACAAACACACCACATATATACCATATACATACACGGTCACACACATACCTCATACATAACACACACACTGCATCATCTACATACACAGTCACATACCCACTGCATATATAACATAAACATCACCTATATACCATATACATACACACATACAGTCACATACATTTTACCATATACATACACACATGCAGTCACACACATCACATATACCATATACATACAGACACACCACATGTATATCATATGTACACACAGTCACACACATACCACACACACACACACAGTCACAAAGCACTCTGCACCCTGATTTTTGAAGCCCAGAACACTAAGGTTCAGAGAAGTAATGTAATCTCAACAAAGATCTCACAGCATGAAAGTTGCAGAAGAGCCTTAACCATTGATATAAATTCGACTTTCAAATCTCACCTGTGACAATAAGGTGTGTATGTACAGTTTTATGATCCAGTCACAGGTACCTCTCCTTTCCCGTTGACGCTTGCCTCCCTGTCTGTTCAGGTGCTGGGGTCTCCAATTTAGATAATTCACACTAGCTATTTGGTTGTGGCCCCTTCAAAATTTAGCGCACAAGACAACAGGCTTAGCTTAGCGTACTGGCCTTCAGCACACACATGGATCACCCATTCCAATCAAGTCTCCTTCTGACTCACCTTCTCTTTGAGCCAGTCGCCCATTTGAGAGGTGAGAATCGCTGAGGGCCCTGCGAAGAAAGGCTGAGAGAACACACAGAAGGGGCTTGCACACAGAGCGTGGCCCAGAGTTTGCCTGTCGAAAAGCTGCATTCCCATCATCAAGACCCAAAGTTGAGCCTGTCTTCTCCAGAGGACACCACTGCCATCAGAGGCAGCTGTCATAGGCCCCACTGTACTCTCCCTTCACCCCTGAAAACATATTACCCCATTATGTGTGTGTCTGCCTGCCAGTATTGATCGACTTACAGCCAGCTCCGTTAGACTGGACTACTGAACTTAAAGCCAGCTCCTGGGGTGTTGCATTAGGAGCTGCAGCAGGGCTGCGTCCCCGGCACACGGCCGCCCGCATGGCTAGCTTATGCCTGAAATAATTACACGGAAACTGTATTCTTTCAAACACTGCCTGGCCCATTATCTGTAGCCTCTTATTGGCTAGCTCTTACATATTGTTCTAACCCATTTCTAATATTCTGTGTAGCCCATGAGCTGGCTTACCAGGGAGGATCTTAACCTGCGTCTGTCTGGAGTGGGAGAATCATGGCGACTCCTTGACTCAGCTTCTTTTTCCCAGAATTCTCTTCTGTTTTCCCTGCCTACCTAAGGGTTGGCCTATCAAATGGACCTAGGCAGTTTCCCCTTTTTCTGTTTAAACAAAAAAGAAAGGCTTTCATTTTAACATAGTAAAATTACATATAGCAAAACAGTTATCAAGCAAGAATTACAGTTACAATATATCTATTTTATCTTTTATCATAACCAAGGAAAACTATAACTATCTATTCATTCTTCAACTCCATCAAAGACTCCAGAAGGATATAATA